TAATCCATGGATTGAAATAATCCCAAAGACTAGAGAATAATAATATAATATAATAATAATGTGGATAGTAAATTATAGCACTAAGTAACTATTTAAAGTAAAAAATCAATATATTGAGAATTATGTACTACATTTGCATTAATACATGAAAATGACTCCATAAATAGGACCATTTTAATCTATAAAAAGGACTTGAACCACTTCAAATACTTCTACAGAGCAAAGTGATTACTTGAATATACATTGTACTCTTAGAGCTATTAATGCAAAGTGACTACTTGAACCACTTCAAATACTTCTACAATGTATATTCAAGTAGTCACTTTGTTCTGTAGAAGTATTTGAAGTGGTTCAAGTCCTTTTTATAGATTAAAATGGTCCTATTTATGGAGTCATTTTCATGTATTGCACCTATAGTACTGTAGTGTAGATATAATTATTAAAAGAAATGAGTCGTTTGTGAGTTCGAATTGACTCGTTAAAGTTAGAGTTCGGTTCGTTAAAATTTAAAATTAAAAGAAATATACATAATTTTTTATAATTCGACTCATTAAGACTTGTTAATATTAAAAATGAATTGAACTTAGTTCAGCTCGTTTATAGGTCTTAGATGTGTCAATTTTTAGATGTATTAATAATTAATGCAAAAAATAACATGTGTCTTTCTAATTAAATTTATTGTTACCTACATATATAATATACAATTATCTATTTATTGTTACCTACACATATAATATCCAATTATCTCTATATACCATGTATACTAAACTACTATGAATCGCGTCTTATAAATTAGGTCGGCATATATTTAAATAAGAAGAACATCGACATTTTTAGATCAGCTCTTATGATGCATCCCAAATTTAAAAGATAAATTTTAAAATTTTATCCTAGTTTATACGAATTCATTCACAAATTAATATACAAAGGAAAAACATCATTAAATATCTCCTAATAGATGTTTTGCTCTACTTTTTTATTGAAAAAAAAAAAAAAATCTTTTTAAAAATCTTCGTATTCTTCTTGATCATTATTGTTATTATTATTATTATTCTTATTATTTGATATTCTTGAATTTGACGGGCACATATTATTATTTATTATTATGAATTTGACTAGTGACAAGTGTTTGAGACGACCTCGTCAAAGTTTAATGAGTTTTTAGTCTTCTTTTTCGTTATTATATTACAATTATATATCCAGAAACTTGATCACTCACACATCATTGGCCCTTGGATTTTTTATTTTTTTATCTCATGTAGTGTATTTTTCTCTTCATTTAACTTGGTTTTCTGTATCAACAATAATTGTGATGGAGAATAATCTGTACATATTATTCCATTTCAGTCATCTTCACTCAAAAAATATTGCACTGCATGTGGAAAGTGACAAAAACTTAGAGTCTTAGAGAAATCTACAACAAATATCTGTCTTTTTTTCTCTCTTAAGTTGTAGTATATTATGAATGTATATTTATAATTACTTTTGAAATAAAACATAAGAAAAAGTTTTTTTTTCATTAGTTGATTGAGTAGAGAAAAATGTTTAGTAAATAATTAGCTGTTAGATATGTAAGAATAACTAAAATTGTAATCCTCCCAACATTGGCAACAACAAAAATTCTGAAAGACGTGAATGTTTGACTTTTATGCTCGTAATTTTATAACTTTACACACTAAGGTAGAATGTTAGGCAACCTAATAAAAATTTGTAAAATAAATTTTGGGAAAACTAAAAATAAATTAAAGATTCTTGAGAATCCACATGTTTGTCCTTTGCATATGTTTGTACCTCATTTTTCTTAAACCATTTTATGTATATATATATATATACACATATATATTTTATTTAAATATGGGGGAAGTGTAAAGTGGGATAAAGTAGAGACTGATGTTTTCAAATATTGGAAAAGTAGATCAAATGTTACAAAGTGGCTTTGAAATTTGATGACTTAGAGTTTTATATAATATTTTTTATTTGTTTTGTAAATTGTTGCTAGTATATATATTGGGTGACAGATTAACTTTTGCTACTTTTTTGTTGGGGTGGTTGACCATGGTCTCACTTTTTGTTGTTCCTAGACATCTGCCCAATTATCAACTTAGCTAAAACCAAGTTTTCACTTTTATCTACCCCTATGTTACAATTATTTTTTTAATAAAAAAAAAGAGTAGAGATATGTGTACGTACTTAGAGTGCCTAAAAATTCAAAGCTTTCAATTTGTAAAGTTAGGATTGTATGTGGGATGAAATTAAACTGTTCTAGTAATTTATAAATATAAAGAACTCAATGCATTCTTAAAAGCTTTTGTAGATAATCATTTGAAATTAATAGTAATTTACAAGTATATAGCTCTTGAGGGGGTATTATGATGAATATTGGGACTGTATATTGTAAATTAAGGGATTAAACTTTATGATACACACATTTTGGAATTCTAACGTTTTTCTAATATGAGACACTGATATGAATATTAATACAAGTGTGACACTCCGACCGACTGAGAACCGTCTCGATCTTGCTCCTCTCGCCGGTAGAACGCCGAAACTTGCACGAAACTCTCACACCAGAGGGATTTTCCGGTGAATAACCTCCAACGCTCAAGTCAATCTTGAGAAGATGATATAAGTATAAGTGATAATGAAAATATGAGAGAATGTATGAAAATCATAAGGCTCACCCCTATTTATAGGGGTGAGATACATGTTCTAGAAGCTGCCTGGATTTGGTGAGTTGGCTGCCCTAGGGCTGCCCGACCTGCCCCATAGTACAACTCCTAGGTAGGTGTGTCAGAAATGTGTCAGAAACAGTTACTAGTATGGACCAATTAGCTTGCGCCACGTGTCCCCCGCATGTGCGTAAAAGATTCCTTTAGAGGCTCCTGTGATCGATCAGATCTGGGAAATTCTTGAAGCCGCCTCTAGTGTTGGAGGTGGTCGATCTCACGACCCTTCATGCTCGACTGCCTAGTGTTTCGACCAGATCTTCTGTGAAGCGGAGATCCGGCGGGCGTTCCAATATCCTTGTAGTCGTGGCGTCTACCTGGTATCGATCAACATTCACTCTGTTCGACCAACCCAGTTTATCCGATTTATTCCTCTCCCTCCTTTTGGAATATGATGTCAATGACACGAGTATAATATGACATGCGTCGTAAAAATTTAAGATACGAAAACAATAGTATATATACATTTTATATATATAATAATACACTATATTATTAAGAATTTAGTTTTATTACATAACACATTCGTAGATTCAATTCCTACTGGATGCACAACTTAGTTTTATTTCATAACTACATTAAAATGAATTGTTAAGCTATATAAAAATAAAACTAAATGAGCCATCTCATAAAATATACAACCATACTCATAATAATAGACAAAAATTTAAAAATAAATTATCAAAAAATGTTATGTGAGAGCCCATCACTACCGTATATTGGGCTTCGTTTAAAACCGTAATGACAAGCCCAGTGTAATGTAGCTCTCTTGGGGCCGATTGGGCTGTGCAAGCCCGTAATCATGACTTCTATATACAACTACTATTCAGCTCCTTCCAACATTTTAGATTCATATGATATGATANCACTTATTCACTTTTTTTTTGCATTACAAACATATTACGTTCATTTGCACTATTCACGAGCTCGTTAAACGAAACGAGTTTGCTCGTAAATACGGTTCAACTCGTTAATGCTCGAAATAGAGCTTATTTACTTAAAGGCGAGGTCGACTCGTTAAAATTCAAAAATAATTTTTTTATAAAATCTTTTATAACTCAACACTTTAAGGCTCGAGTTTGAGTTTATAATATAGATAAACGAGTAAACTCTAGTTGGTTCGGTTATTAGAACTCTGTATTAGGAATTGAGATAACTATTTTTGGATAAACTATATTAGGTGCAAAAAAGTAATTTCCTTGTAAATATGTAACAACTTGTTTACTCTTTACTGTAAAGTTCACTCAAGCTAATAAAAATATAAAACTAAACACGCACTCAGAGCAAGCAGATATCGCGTTTGCTGTTAGCTTGTCCTTTTCAAGCCGCTGTTAAGGTAATTTTATTCTTCAATTTATTCTATAGTTTTGTGGATGTTTCCTTCAGAATTTGATGGTCCACCAGCTAGTTTTTGAGAATTACGCATTCAAGGTTCTCTTTTGATTTTGGCCAAGATTTTCTGATCTAATAAATCTGTCGGAACAGGAATTTGTTGGGGGATGATTCTAGTATCTTTTCGTTTCTGAACTGAATCTTGATGTTGAATACTTGGACAAGTCATACGTACAGAAAATTCTGGTTACAAGCAGCTAAAACAGCTATTGTCTTTAAGGTGTTTGCGTTTTTGTTTTGAGAGTTTAAAAAGGGGCTTATGATTTGATCTCTCGGGCAGATGCTTGTCAATGGNACTGACTTTAGCAGCTAAAACAGCTATTGTCTTTGGGTTAGTTTTTGCTTGGGCTTATTATGATTTGATTTTTCGAGCAGATGCTTGTCAATGGAATAAAGTCATAAAAAAAAACTGAACTTTAGTAGTTAAAACCTTAAAACAGCTATCGTCTTTGGGTTAGTTTTTGCTTGTGTTTAGAGAATTTAAAGGGGTTTATTATGATTTGATTTTTCGAGCAGCTGCTTCTCAATGGAATAAAGTCATAAAAAAACTGAACTTTAGTAGTTCAAACAGCTATTATCTTTGTGGTAGTTTTTGCTTTTGTTTATAGAGTTTTGAAGGGGTTTTTTATTAGATTTTTCTTCGAGCAGATGCTTGTTAATTGATAAGTCTCTCCCTAACATTTGTAAGCACATAGTTTTCGATCGAGTTGATATTGCAAGCAATTGGCCGATTTTTTTCTTTCGTCTTGTAGAAGTTTCTCTGTCGATCGGGCATTCATTGAAATCCAGCATAATCTTCATAATGTTTCTTAATCTCATGCATGTGTAATGATAATAGATTTTATTTCGCATAGTTCTGTGATGTCTTCACAGTGTCTTTCATACCAAATCTTGTTCTTCACAATCTCTGTGATGTAGAAAATTTGCTCATTTTTTTTTTTCTTATTATTTCATAGATGTATCCGATAGATAACTAGTTAGTAGACATTTATAAGGCCAAAATATCGTAAACTCACAACAACGTAACATAATACACGAAAAAGAATATCTCTTTAAAAATAAAAAAAGAAAAACAAAAAAATAACAACAAATCCTTATATAACCAAATTCACCGAGACAACGCCAAGAAATGCCGCCACCTGGACCACCGCCATGCGGGCCCCACCTGATGAATCAGCCGCCGGCGAATCGTCTGACTGTGCATCCGCTGACCGTGCATCCTTCTTGTGCCTAGCTGGCGCCGGCGCTGGAGCCGGGCTCTGGAAAAACGCTAGCGGCAGCAAAACCCTGTCCACCTGGTACACTGCCAGCTGTCCATCCGTGTACACCGTGTTCGCCAGCGTGGCATTAGTGACACCTGTCGTGACGTTCACCGCATTTCCCGAGGTCGTCACGTTGAGGTCGAACGAGCCCTGTCTGCCGCCAGCCTGTGTCATAATCGGGTTGCTCGCTGTCTGAAACTCGGAGAGTGACAGCTGGCGGGGCACGACGTGGAACTGGACGAGCTCGACTTTTTGCTGGTCGGTGAACGAGTTGAGAATTCCCGGTCTGAGGCTTGAGAAGGCCGAGTCTGTGGGGGCGAAGAGAGTCATCCCTTGGTTTTGCGAGTTGTTGAGCTGCGTGTCGATTTGGTCGGCGACTTTTGTTGTTTGTAGGAGACGGATGAACATTGAGTATTGGCCGGATTTTTCGAGGATGGCGGTGAGGTTGGTGGGGGGAGGAGGAGAAGGGGCGGCCGCCGGAGATTGGGCGGCGGTCCGGGTGGTGGTGGTAGGGAGGAGGAGGAAGAAGAGGAGAAGGGGAAGAGAGAATGTCAAAAGTTTCCTCATTTTTCCTTTTTCTATTTGGAACAATGTGTGTGAGAAGAGAAGGAATGGTTTATATTGATGTTGGGGTGGGGGGAGGGGGGTGTTGTTAAAGGCTAAAAAATGCATTTTTAATCGTGCTAGTTAATGTCATTGCAATTTTAGTCTTAAAATTTTGACATTTCTCCTTTTGGTCATGTAATTTAATATTTTGTTGCAGTTTCAGTCAATTGAGGACTAAAATTGAACTAAATTCCCAAATTTATTTTTATATTAGCAATTTAAGTCATGTAATTTAAAATTTTGTTACAATTTTAGTCTTTTTTACGGACTGAAATTATTGCAAAATATTAAATCATGGGACGAAAGGCGGAAAGTTGGAATATTGTGACTAAAATTGCTACGGGTTTTTTTGCTACGGAAAAGTTTGTGCAGTGGGGGCTTGAGAGGATGGGGAATTAGTCAGTTAGGTGAAATGGACATTTTTTAAGGTGGGGAGCTAACTTTTTTTTTAACACAGCTCATTTTCTTGCTTGGTGTTGAAGATGGAGAAATACAGCTAATTTATTTTATTTTATTTTATTTTTTCTAACTTTTTTCTGATTGATGATGCTGGGGACAGATTTTTTGATCAAATCTTTATCTTCAAGTTTTCAGGCGCAACTTACAAGCTACAAAGGGCCATGTGATAAATCATCAAAGTAGCAATTTTTTTTATTCACTCATTCATTTGGGAACCATGAGCCATCAGATAACACAGTTTATGGAGTCATTTGCAATTATTCACACGGTTTATAGAGCCATCTGCAATTATTCACAAATAGTTTACTTATAGTCATTTGTTGGATGGCTTTATAGAATTTATGTTGAAAGCCATTGCCTTCTTTATTGTTTCCTTTTCTTTAAAAAAAAAATAAATAGGTATGATGAGTTCAATCTTGATTGATCTTGGTCTAATCTAATTTATAGGTCATTAATTTACTATGTTGCAATGAATCTAGCTTGATTTTGTGTTTGTAAATTGCAATTATGTTTGATGAAATCAAATTGAAGAAAAGAGCTCAATGCTGCTGGCATTGGATACCTTACATGATGGAAAATCTTGACAATTGGCAGTCATTGATTGGTGGCCAAGGATAATTTAAGTTGTCCCCTTGATGAATATATGGAAGTGACTGAAATTTAACATTGTCTTGATTTATTTCATGATATATAATTTTTGTTCTTCCCTTTTTATTTTTTGTCTACTTGGTATTTAAATAGGTATCCTATTAAGCAAGTTCAATTTTGTATGGATGTGTGTTGATCTAATGGTAAAAAACTTTGTGGACACTGCATGATTAGGTCTTTAAAATTCGATCTCACAAGAGTTCTTTGATTACTGTTAGGATGAAATTTAACTCGGACAGTTGATGATAGATTATATAAAAAAATTCAGGCCCAAATAGAAAAATTCTCAAATAAAACTGGTTCAGCTTTTAGTTGTTAACGGAACATATTGGTTGGGTTATGGGCTCTGATATTATCGTGAGAAGTTGGCCTGTATCAAAATTGAAAGGCAGACTTCATGCTATGGGCCTAAAAATATGCAGTTCGTATTGGGCCATTGCTTTAAATAAAAAATATGAACTATTGGTAATGGGGATCGTGATTGGATGTGGCATTACTTTTTTTTATTAAAATCTTAATCAAATTTCTCTTACTAATTTTGATCAAAGTGATACATTCAAGTTATATTCCATAGTATATTGTTCTGTAATATGCAATTTAATTTCAAAAACCTGAGAAGTGGATTTAACTCCACTCATGCTGATCTTTGGATTTAACTCCATGCTCAATTTAGTATAACTGAATCAAAAGAGTGATTTAAGGCTTGGTTAACGAACCTGATCGAAATGTCAAAATCGAAATAAATTAGACAATTTTTTGGGAAAAACTTAACAGTTTATCCCAAACCAAACTAAAATCAAATCGAAATTATCAATTTATTCGATCGGTTAACTAGATTTATTAAATGATGAGTTATTCATGAACTCGGTTCGTTAAAACTCAAGTTCGACTAGACTCGTTTATGTAATTTTCTAAACCATAACTTTCATTCGGCTCTTTAAAATTAAACTTTGGGTTGCTAATTTTCATAAACAAATTGAATTCAAGCTTGTTTGGCTTGGTTCGATAATGGCTCGGGTCCAAATAGACTAATTTTAGAGTTCAGGCTTGACTCGACTAGAAAAAATAAATAAAAAAATAAAAAATAAAAGGTAAACAGATAACTATTGGAGATTAGAGAATTTAAGGAAAAACCAAAAGAGGAAGGTGGTCAAAAACCCCATTGACAAAATACGCGAACAAAAATTCTGTATCGAGGGCCAGCGTGTTGAATCACAACTCAGAACCCTTGATTTTTTATTTTTCCTTTTTCTTTTCAGAGAAAAGGGGTGAAAAAAGAAGAACCCTTTTCATGATCTCGCTAAAATTTTGACACACAAAGTTGTTTGGCTATAATTTTTTTCAAGATTCATTTTTTGTGTGTGTGGGGCGAGGCTTGTGAGAGAGATGATGAACAGCGGTCCGAGTAATCACATGATGTCCTCAGCGGCAGCGTCTGGGAACAACGCGCCGTCGCCTGGCCTGAAGACGTATTTCAAGACCCCAGAAGGTAAGTACAAGCTTCAGTACGAGAAGACTCATCCGACGGGCCTTCTGCACTACGCCCATGGGAAAACTGTCACTCAGGTTGGGTTCAAAATCCTCGGCACTTTTCTAGGGTTTTTTTTGTTCCTTCCGTTTTCTTGGTGATTTATGGAATTTGGGGGTTATTGAGGGCTTTGTATCTTTTTCCCTGTGGCAGTCAGTTGTTCGAGATTAGATTTCTGGGGTTGCTTTTTTTCGTTGATTGTGACTTCCTGCTTGTTGATTGATTGGGTTTCTGATAGTTTTTGTTAATTATTGGGAACATTAATGTTGATGGTTTTTGGTTTGACATAAATTGAACTGAAAGCATATGATAGTTTATTTGCCATTTTGATAATTTGTGAATCTTATCCAACATCAGTAAACACCATCCTAAGCATTTGGAATTGAAACTTTGTTGTTTTAAGTTTATTTTTGTTTTTATTTATTTATTTATTTTGTGAAGAATTGGAGATTAGCAGATTAAAGGGTCGATTTTTTGACAGGTTTGGAAAATGGTAAATTAAATTTGGTTCAGGTGACAGATAGCACATAAAATCAGTAAACAGCAGCCTAAGCATTTTGAATTGAAACATTGTTGTTATAAGTATTTTTTTTTTTTGTGAAGCATTGGAGATTAGCAGATTAAAAGATCACGTTTTTGACATGTCTTGAAAATGATTAACTTAAATTTGGTTCAGGTGACGATAGCACATCTCAATGAAAAGCCAATGCAGGCTCCATCTCAATCATCTTCGAGTTTGGGTGTAAGCAGTGGTGTTAGGTCAGCAGCAGCAAGGTTATTGGGTGGTGGGAATGGGAGTAAAGCACTGAGTTTTGTAGGAGGTAATGGTGGAAGTAAGCCGACGAACAGTAACAGTCCTAGAATAGGATCATTAGGGGCTTCAAGTTCGAGTAATTTGGTTGGTAATCCGAATTTTGATGGAAAAGGATCCTACTTGATATTCAATGTTGGTGATGCGGTTTTCTTGAGTGACTTAAATTCTCAGGATAAGGTAATTCGGTGGTTATCTGCAACTTTTATTTTTTAAAATGTACTATATGTTATTAAAATCATCATTGAATTGATTTATTGGGTTTTTTTTTTTTGTTTTGTTTGTGCTGCATAGGATCCTATAAAGTCTATACATTTTAGCAATTCGAATCCTGTTTGCCACGCATATGATCCTGATGCTAAAGATGGGCATGATTTGCTTATTGGTCTGAACTCTGGAGATGGTATTCCTTTGGCCTCAGAAGTTTTAGTAGGATTAATATATTATATACAAGCTTATTTTATAGATTTTTTGTTTCTACGTTTTCTGTAGTTTATGCAGTATCTCTTAGACAACAATTACAAGACGTTGGGAAGAAGCTCGTGGGGGCTCAGCACTATAATAAAGATGGTTCTGTTAACAATAGGCAAGAAAATTGACTCCTTCGTTTATTGTTTCGAGTTTATTATGTGCACAAATCATGTCCTAGTTTTCTTAATTTGATTTTGACCAGTGTTTGCAAAACTTGTATTGTGATATATCGAATAAAGTTCTTGAATTACTTGCTGATCAATTGCTTTGCTTTTTCTTCTCACAGTCGATGTACCAATGTTGCATGGATTCCCAATGGTGATGGGTCGTTTGTTGTTGCACATGCAGATGGTAATATGTATGTATATGAAAAGGCAAGTTATGAACTTTATTTGGGAATGAATACTGTCATCTTCTTAAATTAATCCGTAGTTTGGGGATTTATATGCAATTCCTTCTGTTTTTAGAATAAAGATGGCTCTGGTGATCCCTCATTCCCTGTGATCAAGGACCAAACCCAATTTTCTGTATCACATGCACGCTACAGTAAGGTATTGGTGATTTTTTTTTTTTTTTCTTCTGTTTTGGAATTAGATTTTTATTTCCTATAAAGCTAAATATGGCGTTCGAATTTATTTGTATATTAATGGAACCATTTGCGTTCATCTTTAAAATATTAATTTTTTGATGGTCCTTTTATTTGATCAAAAATAACTTTTTTCTTGGCCATATGTGTTTTAGTTTATCAAATAGGCGGTATAAAACAGCGGGGCCTTTTATGAGTAGCATCAGATCTTGGACGTTTTATTTTAAAAAATGTTTTTTCATGTACTCTTTTATAAAATGACAAAATGGTCCTTTGCAGAACCCGGTTTCTCGATGGCATGTGTGTCAAGGTTCAATAAATGGCATCGCATTTTCGGCAGATGGTGCTTATTTAGCCACCGTTGGAAGGGATGGTATTGTTATTCTAATCTCCTTTCTGTGTAGAAATTTGATTGTTTGTTAGTTCCATTTATATTTAAAGGTTTGAGGAAAATTTGATAAAATGCAGGTTACCTCCGAGTATTTGATTACAGAAATGAGCAACTCATATGTGGTGGGAAAAGCTATTATGGCGCTCTTTTATGTTGTGCGTGGAGGTGATTGCCAATTTTGCCATTAATTTTCTGTTGGAATTTCCCTGTAAAAAGATTCAATTCGAAAAATAAATATTTAGTCGATATATATCATAAAGAATGGAATTCTGAAATTGAATTTTTGACAAATATTGCAAAAGCATGGATGGAAAATACATTTTGACTGGTGGTGAGGATGACCTTGTTCAAGTATGGAGCATGGAAGAGCGAAAGATTGTGGCGTGGGGTGAGGGACACAACTCGTGGGTAAGAATTTGAGAAATTTAGCATTTGCACGAGCAATTTTAGGCAAAAATGCATTTTTAGTCCTCTTGGTTTAACGTCATTGCAATTTTAGTTCCAAGGTTTAACTTTTCACCTTTTGGTCCTGTGATTTATATTTTGCTGTAATTTCAGTCCTTTGAAATTGCAACCAAAAAAATAATAATTAAATTACACGACTGAAATTGCAATAAAATTTAAATTACAGGACTTAAATTGTTAATAAAAAATCTGTCCCAAAGATATAAATTGTGAATTTGTTGGCGAAATGTTTAGAGTCTTGGGATTAAAATTGTTGTGACGTTGCAGCAGAACTAAAAATGCAAATTAGCCGCAATTTTACCATTATGCTCATAACCATAACCCGAATAGCTTCGAATAAGATTCCTGCTTTACTTAAAAATGACTCTTTAACTTGTCTTATTGCTTAACGATAGGTTAGTGGAGTGGCATTCGATTCGTACTGGGTGCCCCCTAATTCAGACGGTGTTGCAGAAAACGTTGTTTACCGTTTTGGCTCTGTTGGTCAGGTACTCAAACTTGTATTATTTTATTGTCCTTCAAATGAAAAGTTTGTTCGTTCCAAAACTTACTCTCAACGAATTACCATCACTCATTAGCCTAATTACCCTAAAAACCAACCAACAAACAAAAAAGTGAAGTTCGAAGCCTTCAAACCAAGTATTTGTTAGATTAACAAAATAGCTTATGGTTAACTTTTTCTTAAAATATGAGAATGCAAAATTGCATTTTTAGTCCTGCTGGTTTAATGCCATAGCAATTTTAGCCCAAGGTTCCAACATTTCACTTTTTTAGTCTTTGTTATTTAATATGTTGCTGCATTTTCAGTCCTCAAAAGGACTGAAATTCCAACAAATTCACATATTTTCGATTAGCAATTAATTTAAAATTTCGTTGCAATTTCAGTCCCGTGATTTAATATTTTAATGCAATTTCAGTCATTTTGCATTAAAATATTAAATCACATGACAAAAAGGCGAAAAGTTGGAATCTTGGGACTGAAACTGCCATGGCGTTAAACCAACAGGACGAAAAATGCATTTTTTGCCATATGAAATTTAACGACATTTCGTGATCCTTAATTGACTAAAACGCTATGTTAGGACACACAATTGCTATTATGGGACCTAGAAATGGACGAGCTGGTGGTCCCGGTTCGCCGCCCGGCTGGCGGGTCCCCCACCTTGAGCGCCGGCAGCCAATCGGCCCATTGGGACAATGCTGGCCCAATTGGCACCTTACAGCCCGCCCCAAGCATGCGCGACATTCCAAAGCTGTCCCCACTTGTGGCCCACCGAGTCCACACGGAGCCTCTCTCGGCTTTGATATTCACTCAAGAGTCGGTACTCACGGTTTGCCGTGAGGGCCACATCAAGATTTGGACGAGGCCCGGTTTTGGCGAGTCGGGTGGCTCGGATTCCTTGAAGGAAAAATCATGCGGGCCCGGGAAAGTTGGGAGCGGGCCCGGCTACAAGTGACGAATTAATCGGAGGTTTGTGCATAGAAAGAAAAGTAAAAGAGTTTTTTTTTGTGATTTTTAACTTGACTAAAGAGGAAAGACTAAAGAGTGTTGTTGTATAGGCAGAGGGGCTTAAGATGAGAGAGTGCCTTTTGGAGTCACTTTTGGGAATGGAGAGAGATGAAAGCACAACTCCTAGTTTGTAAAGTATGGGAACAGAAAAAAGCCTAGAGACAGATTGAAATAAATTATAAGATGTTTATTTTTTTCCTCTCATTTTTAAGGTTTTTTTACTTCATTGTTTTTCTTGCTGATCAAATCTTGTCAAAGGATAGGGAGTTGATAGTTTATNAAGATCATGTGAATGTGATTAGACTCTGTTCACAATTGCTAATGTTCAATGTGCCACCACTTGTTGACTGATTGTAAAATCACAAGAAATTTTGTGTAAGACGGCCTATCCATTAGGTGGAATGTGTCATACTTTTTTATATAACAAAAATTCATAACTATATGTTGAAAAGATATAACAAAAAATTTATATAAAATATCATTATCTTTACTATGATATCTCAATCTGAAAGTATGTGTTACTATTGAAAAAATATGATTGTCTAACAACACGACTGGCTGAATAACAACTTTATTGAAAAAAAAGTATGTTTGTGTAGAAAAAAAATTGACTTTCAAAACGTTATGAATAGAGAATATGTATATATGTTGGAAAAATTTTGACTTTCTAAGCGTTGTACCCTAACAATAGCATGGTAATCTTTGCTTGTTACATCTTAATTAAAAGTTTGTTGTTTTTTTTTGAGGAAAGCTCATAATTTTCATTTGACTAAGGCTGAAATCTCCAAGTTAAAAAGCTTGGTAGCAATCATAATTCTTCCTGATATTGTCTCTCAAGTGACTCATAATTGAACATGGTTTTTTTATACCCAAATCTCACGTCCTCTGCAAAACTACTAAAATGATTCAAATACAAACTTCACCCTTCACAATCTTTTCTCAAGTAAAAATGACCAAGCAAAAAATGAAACCTGTTGAGACCGAAAAACTTTCGAAGGGCATTTGTACACTATGCAACTCGGCTTATAGCACGCTGAATCACAAATTCGGAGGCTTGTTCACAAACCAACACGAAATATATACCAAAGATGGCCGCACGAACCGAAATATATAGTTTTATTTTTATTTTTTGTAAGCACACAATTTCGTACAACTGTAAAATATGTTTCCCATTTGAAGCCCGGCCCACTATCAGCTGCCATTGCTACTACCTTGGGTCCGTGCTTCGCTTTCATTGGGCTGTGTATCAATTGGGCCCACATTGCCGGCCTCTAAATCTTGGTTTGGCTGAGAAGAATTGTTTCCGGAAGGTGGCGGAAGGTTCCGTGTTCTCACCCACTTGAGTATCTCGAAAATCATTGAAATTCCACACATAGCACCCCCAAAACCAGCAAAAGTAGCCAGCAGAACTGATAGAACTGCTTGCACATGAATCTATATACGTACATTGAAATATTGATTGTTTAGTATATTAGAAAAATCGGGCCTCAAAATGCAAAATTTTTTCCCATGTAAAAAGTTCTTGGGACTCCTTATAGAAATGCCTTATTATTTTCAGGGATACAAAAATCTTTTTAGGGATATAATCTCAAGGTGCTTTTGTAACAGTCATTCGAAAAGATAAATTAACGATAATGCTATGTAAGTGCTATTACAACTGGTTGAGGAAATTTACATTTTTTTTTAATTCTTTTTATTCGGTTGAGCAAATATATTTACTTACCAGCGAGTAAAAAATATGGGCAAAAACAACCACCAGCACGAACTGAATAGTTGCATATACCCAAGCAAATCTCTTCCTTACTACCCAAAAAAAAAGGCAACAAAATGAGTTGAAAAGGAAAATAAATTAATGAATAAATAAGAGGCAATACTTATATTATTATGCCTTTGAGTTTGATGAGTGAGTAAAAAAACAGCTTACCCATAGTAGTAGACGTCATAGACGCAAGGAGACCTAAAATACATGAAAAGGGCAAAGATATTGCGATTGCACTTGATCCGAGTTTACTGACCTAAACGACAACAACTAAAAAACACTTAATAAATCGAATTTATAAATTGGAAATATAAAGTACAATAAATGATTCCTGGAAAAAAAATGAAGTTCTTTTTCCAAGAACTTAGGGTGTGACTGGATATAAACTTAACCAAAAAAAAAAAAAAAAAAAAA